CCCCTTGCCCGGCGTGGGAGCCCTGCGCTGCTCCTACCTTCGCTCTTCGCTTTCCACCAAATCCCTCTGAGAAAGGCTTATTAATGAGCTCGCAAACGAGCACCCAACTGGGAAATGTCACAAACAAGAGAGGCTAATGCGCCAGAAAATCAAATAAGGGTACAGTCAGCTGATTGGGGGCCTTTCATATTTACAATAACGCTACTATTAATATAGGACCCCCTTTAAATCAGATATTCTGAAAGGGTCAACACCTTGCCGAACAAAACAGCTCATTTATTTATGTTCAGAAATCTCCAGATGATAAATTATATTGAAGTTAATCACTTCACTGCATACTGGTGCAATTAATATCTGCACTCACCAGAAGCAGGCAGATTAATAGAAACACGAGGTGCCTACATCGGTTGGCATCTTCCTTTCTTTGTTAGACATAATTGGGCACCGGGTATTCTCTTGGTATAAACAACAAACAGAGGTTACAGCAGTTTCCCTGGGTGTATGTTTTCATAAGCATACAAGCAGGCATTACAAATATCTGGATTCTATTAATTATGACTCTCTTCTGCGTTTCTCCTCCTCTGGCTTTAAGGCTCCGCTGCCTCCCCCTCAACATGGCTTCACCCAAGGAGGGGAAACACAGGGGAGACCCTGGCACATCAAGCACAGGCAGGAAGGCAGCCCCTCCCTCCTCTTCGCTTCTTTAGCACAAGACCTTAATGATGTCTTCATCTGCTTCAAGGCTCCATTTCTGTTTTTAGAAGTGAATTTGCACACCATCACCTCCTCAACTGTGGATGTCAACCGATGCAGACAGACGCACCTCGAAATGGCCTACGGTCAATGCCTTCCTATTCCGGCAGCTAAAAACCCCAAGCAAGATTCTCAAATCTTCTTTATCCAGATTTATTGAAAGGGGGAAGGCATTGGTTTACAAATATTTTGGAGAGCTGTACTTCAAAAAACCCAATTTATCTCTACATTTTTATTGCGGACATTTCTTGATTCGCCTACCAACTTCTCTTTGGGGATATAGCTTTCAGGAAGCTACCAGGTACAGCTACCTGGTCAAGAACCTGAAGCTCCCCTGAATTTACGATACTTTGCAACTTGCCATCCTCTTTTCCAACTTCTGAAAAGCCCTTTATCTCTACCCTGGATGAACTTCTCAGAATGATGGCTCAGCTGGTGAGACCTGTAAAGTCAGCCCTGCCACAGTAATTTTGCCCCTGGACGTGTTAATGAAATACTCTGATCGGTGTTAAAGCAAGAATAGAGATTGTGGCCCTCAACGTCTAAGTCAAGCAAGATAGCCAACACTTTAACCTAGTTGGTCCTCTGGATACTCCTGAAGGACAAGGGGAAAGCCAAAACGGTTCCCTCCCTTCTGCTTGTAGAAGGGGAAACCATGCTGAAGAGCTTCTGGACTTAGGACAGCGGATCTCAAAATGCCACAGAACCCAAACACTGAAACCCTTTGATTTAGGAACATCTGAAGCAGGTCAGTTTCAGACCCTCATGGATGTCAACAACACGGAGAGGAGAGTTTGGGACACATATTTAGTTTCACTTCTCCCACTCTAATCCTTTTAGTTCTTCCGCTTTAATCCTTTTCTTTTGACAGGCCAAATTTCTCATCCTGCGTGAGGAATTTTTGAATTTGTAAAGCAGTAAGGTTACTTCCAATGAAGCCACTCATGGCTTAGACCAAACTCTTTGAAATGCCGTCATATAAAAAAGGCTCTGCCAGATGCAAAATGTAGCTTCCTGCCTGAAAGATCTCTGCCCTAACTGAAAGCTTCCTTTCTCTTTCCTCTTATGTGTATGAGTTACAAATACCTTTAACAACTTGCTCCAAACTTCAAAATATTAACTATAGAATAGAATAGAATAACGGAGTTGGAAGGGACCTTGGAGGTCTTCTAGTCCAACCTTCCTGCCTTCTTCAACTATGAGGAAGAGGAACCATAAGCCTTGCTTGTTGTCCAAAATACCTCTCACTTTGCCATCTGATTTGATTATTGTCCTCATCACCCCAATATTCCAGCAACTCTTAGCTAGAAGTGGTGGAAGAAGGCATCAGCCCACCACTCCCTATTTATTCAAGCATCTTTACAGCTGTAGGACTGAAGAGAGACAAGGCATGTTCCAAGGAGGAATATCCTTTGGCCCAACAAGAGGCTTCCAACGTGCATAGATACGAGCCCAAGACTAGCCTGATCACACTTCTTCTAGACACGAGCAGAGATTCTAGTTGTTATAGGCCACAAACCAACTTACTTGGATATGCGGCAATGGTGTTTGGGCAAACCACAGTTCACCACATTGAAGCTAGTTGCTCAGGAAGCTTTCGGTGTTCTTCATTCATGCATGAAAAATTGCCTTTTGCTCCTTCTCATATCAAACCTTCTACGGCTCTACATGGATCTCAAGTAAATGTTCTCCTTTTAAGAACTTGTCCAGAATCTTTTGCTCAAGGTGAAGGGCTCCCAAATGCCAGCCTCACCTACCCTGCAACCATCTTTCTCATTTTCACTCCTCCTTCCATTTCTGTGCTAATGCTAACATGCAGCTGCCTATTCAAGCCTTTGAGCAAACACGAATTAGCTCTCAGCCTTGAAAAAAGCTCCATAGATAATTTGAATTTCACCTACTAATACCTTCCTTTTTATCACAAGCTGCTACCTTCTGACTTCTATCTTCTACTAAATATGCCCAAGTGAAAAAATAACGGGCTATGACTGTGCATTCATTGGTTCAGGGAAAGAGGATGGCAGGATCAGCTCACACCTGGGCCAGGCAGGGAGAACTGAGATCCAGGACCTTCCGTGTCCTCTTCCACCAGGTCTCTCTCTCCAGCTGCCAATTGGGGAGCAGAAGTTTGGATGCAGCCCTGCGGTCCAATGTTAAGACCCTCCTGGCTTGGCGTTTTGGGCTCCCCGTGCATGGCAACAACAGGATGGTCATCTAACAGATATGAAGTGGTAAAAGTGAGCCCAGCTCTAGGCTCAGATTGCAAATTCCAGACCCCAACAAGCCTTTGAGAATGGGTTGTCACTGGGCCTGGTGTTTACAAAGTGTTATTTTTCTGAGCAGCTGCCAGGCGGTGTAGTAATCTGAACTTCAAGCAACAGACAAGTAGACTCTGCTTCTCTCTAAACTGCTGTGGCATCAGGATGCCAAGAGAAGCAGGTAAGGTTTGGTTTAGGTAAGAGAGACCCAATTAGAGAGAAGATACTACATTCTTCAAATACCACCGTTTCTCCACTGACAGAATTAATCCAAGTCATCTTTAACCTCAGAAATGTTCTGATTAGATCCCTGTAAATAAATAACTGCGTGGCCATGACACTTTTGCTCATTACTCTTTGAGATGAAGCCCCTGGAGTTCTCCTGCACGGTTCTCCCTGGTGCTGGAAGGACGGAGGTCCTGACCATCTTCCAAGGAAGCTCCACTCTGCGTACTGACAGGCGTCTGTAAGTATCTGGGAAAGCTCCTCCAATCAGACCCAGCAAAGGTGCTAATATGTTATTAAAGCTAATGGGGCTCTACCAGAAATGCTAATGGACAAAACGTTTGCATAAATGAATTACACATCAGCACAGTGACTAGGCTACCACAACCAGCCAATTTAGGTAATATCTGATGGTTTGGGTGTCCCCCCCCCCGCCCATTATTATAGGGATGTTCCTTCCCCAATACTTTGGGGTGATATGAAAATTGTAAGCAAAATGCTCATAATGGAACAACATAATGAAGCAGAAGAAATAAATTAACACGGGGGAGGGTTCTTTGTGTAACGTTATGGTTGAGTTGCAAACACAAAAGGCAGGCATTGCCCTGCTGTAGTTCTGGCTCTGTGATGAAAGTGGCGGGCTGCTTAAGCCACGGATCCTTCCATGCTTCGTATGGCACTGCATCTGAATGGCATTCGGACGGGATGGGGTGCATGCCAACCCCCGGGGTGCTGGTCACAGCTGCCACAGTCCTGGGCAATATTTCAAGGCAAGCAGCAAAAGGAACCACAGGCAGGGCCCAGGTCTTTTCTGCCACCCTCTGGTCCTCTAACTGCCTGAAACAGGAAGCCACAGCTTAGTGCCAAGCCAGTAATTCAACTTTGTGGATTTACAGAAAGTTATCCTCTAATGACAATATTTATAGGATACGTGCTTATGCAGCATTTCAGCATCAAGCAATATTGGCAACAAAAGATTCGGGGGGGAAAACAGCATAAATGGGAAAAGCAGTTGGTTGGAGAAGCGTGAACCACCAAGGAGCCATGCCAATGTTGACAGGGTCTCTGGAAGGGCTGCTGCTGATATTTCAACATAATTCGATGGTGAACCTGAACTCGCTGCTGCTTGATGTCTGAAGTGGCCCAGAACAGCCAGCTCAAAGGCTGCTGGCGACTGTTAAGATGAGAACTGAACTTCAGGAGGAGTTCATTCAACACAGCTTTAACAGAGCCCAAGGCCAAAATTGTTGTCTTGAGATATAATGAGGAACTGAGAAGACACAATGGCCAGAAGACCAGAAGATACAGGAATCCTATTCCAACCCAACTGGAGGACCTCTACTGCAAGAAAAGTCCTCTTCAACACGTATTCTAAAGGTTTGTTCAGGATTTCAGGGCTTTGTGGAAATCTATAACTATTCTGACCCTCTGGTCTTACTTAAGCCGATATCCTCCAGATGTTGCTGGACTGAACCTCTCACAGATTCTAGCCAATGTGGACCTATGGCTGGGATTTATGGAAAGTATAGTCCCAAATTATCTGGAAGGTACCAGCTCATGAAAGTCAGATGTCTGCATTAAAATTACAGGCAGATTTGTGTGGTTCGCCCAAGAGTGAACAGCAGAACTTTTTCAAAAGAGACATGAAAAAAAACTGCAGGAAAAGCTTTAAGCTAACATTCAATACTCCAAAGATCCAACTTCAGAAAGGCAGACATAAACAGCATAGGCATAGAGTGAAGTGCTTGTGATCTTGGTACTCACACATTACATCAAGGTAGTACTTGGTCTGCAAGTCTTTAACGGCAGGATGGTCTACCTGACAGACAACTGGGACCCCATCATCCTCCCGCTTGACCTTTAGTAAGAGCTGGCTGGTCACTGTGTACATGTCTGACCACTGCTCCACTTCTGTTTTGCCTGCAGGACAAGAGAGACCAGGGAGACAAGAGAGAAGGTCAGCCACGAAGGACCACACGTGGCCACCTCACTGCCTGCTGTGCTCCTCTACAACCTAGTTGGATCTCACAACTACCCTGGAGTTTCCCACAGGTTTGTAATTTGGAGGGAAAAAAAATCCCACTGGGGCATGTGTTCCTTCTGTCTTTGGAGACCTCAAGACACAGAACATCTTCTGATCTTCCACATCTTGTGCTGACATCCATTCTGGCACATCCCAAAGATGCAGACAGCCAAATCAGTTGCCTTGGGGTAGGCCCTACTCCCACGGAAGCATTTTGCCCACCTGCCTGAGTGGAGACTTGAATGAAGGGGAGAGAAAAGACTGAATTCTGAGGTCATGAATCTCCCCTACCAGCAAAATGAAGCCGGCCAGCTCGAGCTCTTCCTGGCTCCTGGATTCAAAGGGAAGGGAGACCCCACCTTCGCCTCGTGTTATTAAACATAAGATCTACAACCCTCAACCGCCAGGATTAGGATTCCAGGATGTCTTCCAAATACGCAAGTCAACAGAGCCAAAAATCCTCTACCCTCTTCCTCTGATGCCACTGCCAAAAGCCATCATCAATAATTAAGAGGGAAAGTGACTCCATGGATTTACATAATTAAAAGTAGTAATTAAAATATTTAAGCACGGGTACTATTGAAGACCAGAAAAATGCGGTGGCAGCGGGTGGAAACGGAGACATCCCACAGGGCTCCCTGCCAAAAGGAAGGGGAAGGAGAAGGGCAGAACATGAGGAGGGCTGCGATGAAGGGAGGGATGAGTGGGGGGCCCCCACAGATGTGGGAAGTGCCACTGGCTGCCTTAGAGCTTCCTGGTCTGGAAGGGACTGTCGCACCGTCTCGGCAGGCAAAATCAACAGAAAAGTCTAATTAGAAAATCTGCACCCCTTGCATTACAACTATGGGCTGCTACACTCGCTTGGTAAAGATTTAGGGGAGAGACCAGTGAAGGCCACGTTCAGTAGATGTTATCCTGGAAGTCAGAGCGTGTTTTTCTCGATGGGCATGGGAGCATCTGCTTGGTCCTTGATGCCACTCTTGTGGTGAAGATCTGTCTGTTTTCAGGGATGAAATGGCTCTTCTCAACTACAATGCTGGCAGGGAGGGTGAAATGCCGCACTGAGATAGCCCTGGCATGGTAATCTTGGCTCAGTTACAAAGTTGAAACATTTGGGAAGTCTTCTCTTGAGTAAGAAGAGCAGGGTGGAAGACAAGGCAAATAAGTAGAATGTGAGGGGTCAAACTCGGAAGGACCAGGTGATGGCAAGGATTGGACTTTGCTTCCCAGTGCTGGCTTACCAACTATAAGAAACTACAAATGTGACCTTGGAAGGAGTTGGATTAGATAGCAAAGAATGGCGTGTCCTCTGCCAGGGGTCAAGGGGTCTATAGTAAAGCTAACAGACAAAGCACCCCATCTTTTTTCCTAGGAGGAACTTGTGGGGAGAGGCTTTCTGCTGGTTCTGGATAGATTGTATTGGTGTTTCAAGAACATATTGGGTGAGCTGCCTAATTTCAGGTTCTGAGGTTGTCCTCAAATATTTTGATGGTTGGGTCTCAGGTAGGAAACTCATAATATGAGTCAATCCCTGGAGAATAAAACCAAGGTGATCAGCAGAAGCCACACCAGGCCCGGTCTCCACATCTGAGATCAGATCACCTCTCATCCTCATCCTCTCAAGGCACCTCTAAATCTACACCATTAAGTTGGTGGGTTGGAGGAGGGGATGGATCTACCAAAGAGCTCCTTGCTGCCTTTGAACCATTTGATCATCGTGGCTGGCCGGCTAGCCATGGACGTGCAATTCAGCTCTATCTCCTCTCCTTCCACCGCAGTGTCCTTCTGGGATTCAATCCTCAGGTTACGTGGCGGGACTGGAACGAAACAGGTCAAAAACACAAAAGGGGACAATCTCAGTGACTTGTAATCCAACAAGGCACCATTAAGAAACTTACCAGGATTTTAACACCAAAGCAGCTCTTACCTGCATTTTCAGAGCTCCTTCCTGTTCTTTGACTTCTCTGGAGCACCAATTCCCCATTTTTACTACCCACAAATACTGAATGACATTACATATTCTAGCAGGATGACCAAGGCTGACTAAGAGAAGAAGCATGATTTCTCTCCTAAAAAACCCCAAGCCAGAATGAACCCAGAAGTCAATTCTGATTTTGTGTCTGCCTCTATGGACGCAATGATGTAATGTCTTCATAATTAAAAGGGATACACAAAAAACAAACCACAAGACTGACCTGGATAACTTTCCTATATTGGATTTACAAGAGCGACTTGTTAAAGCTTTGAAGAATTTTGTGAGAAGGGACAAAGTAGAAATGAAAAGAGATCAAATTCTAGGACATTATTTGAAGGGACTAAAGATCAAGATTGTTAAAAGTAAAACGAAGAACTTTAAAGTTGGTTTTTTTGATCAAAGTTAAAATAGGTATGTTGTTATCTCTGGTAACCTTAATGGGCTTTACTGATCAGGGCTGCAGCTGAGGCTTTAAGGATTTGTTTACAGATAAGAGGTGAGATTTGGGAGGAAGAGATCATGTGTTTTTTAGAGAAGGTGGTAAGTTTTTATACTTGTGATGAAGGGGAAAGTCATTTTGCTATATATTTCTTTTATTTTTCTTTACTATATTCTCATTTCTTCTTTTCTGTTTTTTTCTTTTTCTTTCTGGCACTTCCTAGTTTTTGTTCCTTTCATTTTTTTAATATTAGTTTTATCTCTTTAATAGTAAATCTTAATCAAATGGCTATTTAAAAAAATCCAGAACTTCAGAAATGACCCCCACCTTGTAAATCGCAAAGAGGCAGCATCCATATGCCCAGAAGAGTCGTTATGGCTGCAAAAAACCATTTTTTTTTTTAAGAGGGGGGAGATTTCTCCTTCCTCTTCAAGCTCGCATTCTGTGCAGGCTTCTCATATTAGTGACTCTCAAAGCCGAAGGGATGAAACAAATCCAGCCGCGTCTTGAACTGAGGATAATCTGAGGCATAACTAGAGAACCGTGAACCAACGAAAACATCTGCAAGAGGACCCCCCCAATCCCTTAGAGAAGAGAGAGAGAAAGGGGGGAGGAGGGGAGGGATGGAAGAGCTGGGCGGCTTCTACTTTTTAATCAGCGATCCCGGCATTAAGAGATGATTGCTGGCATTTAACAAAGCTCTGAAACAAAGATTTAAATTCGTGTTGTTGCGAATAAGTGGCTTTTTTGGTTCTGATTTGTTCTGATGATGCGGTTGAGTGATTCAGCTAGGAAAAACAGGGCGGGGTTGTTTTTTCTCAGCTGAGGAGCAAGGATATTCCAAAAATCATCTGGGGGTTCAAAACAGCGGAAGAAGAAAAAAGTTGGCCTCCGACACCTTCCAGGCTGGGCAAGGACGCATCTCACAGCAGTCGTTTCTCCCCAACTCTCCCAAGAAATGCCAGGGCTATTCACTCTGTGTGTGTGTGTGTGTGTGTGTGTGTGTGTGTGTGTGTGTGTGTGTGTGTTAGCATGGAGGGTATCCCAGGAGATGCCTTTCAGCAAGGCAGAAGGCAATCTTGTTAGGTCCAGGAAGGGAAAGGAGCCCAGTGTGGTGGTCCGCCAGCAGCCTGAGGAGCTGGCAGCGGAGTCAGACAGTGAGGAGGCTGAGGAAGAACATGGGCCAGTCCTGGAGGCTGGGGAAGGCCCGGACGAGGGCTCTGCGTCGGAGGCAGAGATGGGGCCAGGGCCATCGGGGAGTGATGTGCGGACTTCGGAGCCTCCAGAGGCTGACAGCAGAGAGGCAGAGGAACAGGAGGAGCCTGTTCCTAGTGCACGCATGAGAAGAGCTGCCAGAAGGCAAGAGCAGCTAAAGCAAAAAGGACGACTCGGGAGTAAGGCCAAGAGACGATTGGCCCCTCCCATAAGGCTTAAAAGACCAGCAAAGGCTCTTGGGCTCTTTGTTGGAAAACAACGTTGATAGATTTGTTTCTTGTCTTGCTGCATTTATTTCTTGTCGGCGTCTTCTGCTTCTGAACTTTTGCCCAGAGAAGCCTTTGGCAGGTTGCCTAATTAGACCAAGGTTGGTGATAAGGCTGAAGAATTTGTGTTATGAAGAATTTGTTTTGAATTAGTTTGGAGTTAATTCTCAGCTCTTCTAATAAAGTCTGTTTGTTTAGACTGATTGCGTCTGATAATACCTACTTGGGCCTGGGTCACAACACTCCGGAGGAAAAGCACAGCCCTTCTCAGGGCTCCAGTCTCAGCCAGGCAGGAAAGGAAGGCTGGCCATGAAGCCACACCAGGAAGCAATTCCCAAAGCTGAAGTAGTCCAATTTGTAATTCACACTGCAGGCTAATTTTAAACTCTCATAATATACTATCAAACTAAGAACTGAACCTCATGAAATGCAGAAGGAGAGGAGAACCCCGGTAACTAATCAACGAGAGCAATCTCACTTGGAGATTTCTTGCTGCAATTCAAGCTCCCTCATTACCAAGAGCGTCAGAGGCTGCCATAATCAGAAGCCGGGGCTCTTGCGGAATTCATTAACCACTATTGATGGATCCGCTCAGCCCACGGTTACTTTTGGGAATGACGAGGAACCGGAGGACAGTCTGGGAGGACCAGTTCCCCAGCTGGCTTGGTGGCAAAAGTAGGGCTAGACTTCCTTAGCCCAACAGAAAAGGAAGCGGGGAGGCGTTCGTAGATGGCATAGGATGGGCTAAAGCCTGAAGAGCAAAGAGCATGGAAGATCTGCTCCTTCAGAGAAGACCTGGTGAAATGGCAAAATTGGCTCAAAGAAAAGAACCTAAGTACTTTTGTTTCCACATGGAAACCACTTCTGAACTTTGTGCTTGATGTGGAAAAGAATGAAACTTTGATTTTGGGTTTCCCAGACTGACTGATAAGATTTCTGTAGAAATGACTGGTTCATACAATTGTGGTAAAACAAAAAGTTGTGATTTGTTGTTAATGCTTTATTCTACTGCAACAGATAAGAGTCGGAAGTCAAGGTTTCTTTTTCTTTTCCTACCCTCCCTTACTTTTCTTCTCCCCTTTTCCCTTCCCCTACACTGTCCTCTTATTTGCTTTTGTATTTTGTATTTTATAATACCTTATAACTTAATAAAAATGTTAGAGACAAGAGAAAGCTGGGTGTACACCATTAAATGGCGCAGGCTTTCAGGTTGAAGGAGAACACGTTTTATCTTCATTTTCTCTACATCCTGGCCCTAAATTACACTTTAGTTGCTTCTTCCAGCTTCCCCTTTTGTCACATCCGTCCTAACCCCCACAGATAATGGGGTCACGGACTTCAGAGTACGATGTAAGCCGTGAGGATTTCTTTCAAGGCTGCGGAATGGATGGCAAGAAAACCCTGGACCTACCCTGCTTTCTCCAACCTCCTCCTGATGCCTCCAAAGGAGCTGAAGATGGAGATGGGATTCTTACCGAGCACCGTAATGGTCATGTAGTACTCTTGTGGGGGGTCCGTGTAGAGCTGGCAGAAGTATCTTCCCTCATCCGAAATGGAGACGTTGGTCAGTGACACTCGGAGCTCGCTGCTAGAGAAATTCACTAACTGAAACCTGCTGTCCTTCAAGGCTGCGGAAGGAAGAGACAATGGGAATCAGGCCGAGGGAGCACAAAGGAACTCCAGAGCTCAAAGGGTTTTGACTGGCAAAAGCAACTGTTCCCTCTTCCCCACATCCTCTCATTTCCTATTGTTCCGCTGCAATTTGGATTTAACCAGCAGGCTTCCTTGCCAATCAAGATAAATAAACAAATGCCCCTTAACAAGTACTTGTAATTACTTCCTACAGCTTATCCCCCCCCCCCTTTCACTCTGCTTGTTTAGCACACAAATAGGTTAGTAAATTGGCTGCCCAAGATGGGGGGGGGGGTGTCCTTTGCTGGCTGGGCCACCTAGAGGCTGCAAGCAAGGCACAATAGCACTTAGACTTACATATTTGCTCCATAGTGCTTTGTGGCACTCCCTGAGCAGTTCACAGAGTCAGCATATTGCCCCCCCACCCCCTAATTTTACCAACCTCAGAAATATGGGAGGCTGATTCAACCATCAGAATCAGAATCAGAATAGAGCTGGAAGAACCTTGGAGGTCTTCTAGTCCAACCCACTGCTGAAGCAGGAAACCCTATTCCAAGTTAATTGTTCTCACGTTAGGAAGTTTCTCCTCAATTCCAGGTTGCTTCTCTCTTTGGTTAGTTTCCAACCACTGTTTCTTGTCCTGCCTTCTGTTGCCCTTAATCCTTCTTTTCTGTAGACTAGCCATACCTTGAGCTGGTCAGGATTGAACTCCAGGCTGTGGGCAGAGTTAGACTGCCATACTGCATTCTAACCACTGTGCCAACCACATGAAGATGACAAAACCTGTGGCATGTAAACAATCAACCCCAGCAAAAGAACAAGAGTGCCAACTGCCCTAGAAGGCTGATCCTGGCAGCCAAAGGGGGAGAGAAACATCCTGGGCCTCCCAAACCCTTCCCCCAAATATTGAGATCAAAGAGGTTGGCCGTTGGCCTTGAACTCACGTCTGAAGTCTCTGAAATAAATAGTTTGCCTGTTGGGATTCAAGAGCTGAATCACGGAGTCGTCGCTGTTTTTGACTCTGCAGCTGATGGTGGCCACCTCTCCCTCTACCACGGTTACATCCTCTGTCACCAAGTTCTGTCCATCCCCTGAAGAGGTGGGAGAGAAAGAAAAGCAGATGTCAACCTTGGTAGGTTTGGCTTTCTTGCCTACCCGCTCACAGAGAGCAGGGCTGGCTGAGGGTCTTGGCTGAGCCAGCTGTTCCGGCCGTGGGTGTCCCAAGACTGAGGTTCAGCACACTCAGCCAATGGTGTGCAAAGTCAGAAGATCGTCACAGAATTCCCAGGGAAGTGGCACGTTAACTGTGAATTGAAGGTTGGTGCATGAAGTCCCTTGGCTGACTTAATTGACGTCCTTGCTCAGAATATTTTATCTTACGGAAGATTTTCCCCTGATTTGCTGGTTCAGATGGACAGCACCTGTCTTACCTCTCTGCTGCTAATCCTTCCTGCCCATCCACCAAGATTTCTCCTCAAAACAGAACCCGGAGAATTAGTGCAGCAAATGAGGCTCTTCGGTTAAGATTTGTCCAAGCTCACGCTGAAAATGGCTGGCAGTACAGGCGTAATTATGTAATTATATTCTTAAAAATTTATATTTCACATCACTCCCTGTGCAAACCCATTTCAAACAAACACCAGCGTGCAATCAATAAAAAACACACAGATTAAGTCCATATTCATTAAAAAGAGTGGTGGGGGGGGGCAAGGGAGGAAAACAAGAAGAAAACCATTTAATGCAGATTTGGAGAGTGGGTGGGGGAAGGTTGGGTTAGACGAGAAATCGAAAACACATCACTAATGCACAGTGTGTGTGTGTGTGTGTGTTGTTGTTGGGTGCCACAGCAGAGCATCTTACTGTCCTGGATTTTCACAATGAAGCAGTGAGATGGGCTGTTGCTTAAAAACAACAATTCCAGCTGCACAAACCGAACTCCTTTCAACCCCCAGGCAGGAAGGCAGAGAGGGAGGAGAAGTGCAGCCCTCGACTCCCCGCCCAGTTTGGCCCTCAAGGGGGTTTGCAGGATGAGAAACAGGCCAGGATTTGGGGTTGGCTTTCTTCTTAGCAAGAGCCGCCTTTGTTTTCTGTGCCGCCTCATTTCCTTTTCTGCAGAGAGAACCCAGAGACCCCTCCGAAAGCGCCTTTTCCCATCCAATCCCTTCCTTTTTATTCCCCATGTTTAGGGAAGGGCCCATGATGTCCCTCTGACCATTCACCCCCCTCGTTGGCCCTTCCCTCCCTCCTGCAAAGCCCTCCCCGCTGTGCCAAGAAATGCAGCAAGTCCAGGCTTGCTCCCGAGTGGAAGGGTTTGGGGGGAATCCCCCCCCTTGAGGACAACATCACTGCCTCCCCCCCACTGGCAGGAGGGGGTGGCAAGGGGGCTGCAGGGAGCCACAACAACTGGGCAAGGCAGCTTTCTTTCTTCACAGCAGAGAGTAGGAGAACAACTGCACAATTCCAGTTGGGTTCTCAAAAGCTAGCAAGGGGTTACCCCCAGGTCCTCTCTGTGTCAAAGCCTCTCCTCCCCCCCCAACCTCCTCCCCCCCCCCAATAAACCCACCTTCAAACCATGTTCCATTCCTGGCCTCTTCCCCATCTATATAGTTTTCTTGGCATCCTACGGATGCCACTTACGGTCTTTTTCTGAGACAATGATTGATGGACAGGAGACCACCCAGTCCATCTGCAGTTCAGAAAGACACAGGTGGTCCCCCTTCAGCTTAGCTGATCTCAGATCAGAAACGGTCCAGGGAGTTCCCCCCCCCCCAGTTGAGTCTGTGCCAAACCCACCCAATGCACAAATCCGAATTGATGTTGTCCTTTGATAGCGACCGGCAGCTGCAGAGCAGCCGAGGGAAAAATTTGCACAAGAGATTTGCCTAAAAAGCCACAAAGAAGAGGGCGCTTCGTTGGGCGGCATTTGTTTCCAGGACTGGCTTTCCCTTATTACATTTAAAAGAGGAGGGGGCGCTGCTAAAGCCCAAAGGCCCAGAACAAAGGAAAGCAGCATTCACGGCCTCTCCATGCACCGACTGGCTGGGCAACATTTCGCCTTTTCTTTTCCTTGTTAGAAATAAAACACCCGTAGAATTTTAGGCAGGTTTTATTGAGTCAGTCAAGGGGACCAGGAACATCTGCATGCTGGTACTTGACCCTAGGAATTCAAAGTTCCCTTTGCTACAACGAACACAGGAGTGAGAGTAAAAATGTAAGAAACTCCACAGCAAACTCCAAAATGATGATCAGGTTCGCTCCAGAATTATTGATTGAGACCCATGGCTTGTTTTAATGGCTAGGGATGCTTCTGACCTTTGTTTGCAAAGCGCCTCGAGTCTGTGCTGATTTAGCGGTATATAAATAGAATTAACCACAACAATATCCATTTAATCCCCAGGTTTATGTCACAGATCGACTGTGGACAGATCCGGAGTGCAGTGCAGCTTAAAGGCTGCGAATGGGCAACCGCTTGTCTAGAGGAGAAATCCAGGCTGGGGTTGCTAAATGCATGAAGAGATGCCCCTCTGTTCTTTCTCATAGGACTTTGGCATTGCTCAATAATAATAACACAATACAAATACACAAATGTTAAAACAAACATTCCCCCACCCCAAACATTACAAAGATGTAAGGCGTAAGACTTTGGATGCCTATTAACCAGGATGGCTCAGAATCCAGAAATCCCCATCAAATTAGATGCTTGCAAAAACTCCACCTCTCCAGAAATATTATGCAAAAAATATCTGGACCTCAAGAACCTGTTATACATGGGCATCAACTTATGACCGTAATTAAGACTGTTAAGTTATGATCGTCCTAAAGCAAGTCATTCGTGTGACTAATCCAATTTTACGACCTCTGTTCGGAGCCGTCGATAAGCAAAGCCCCTTGTAGCAAATACTGGTTTTTATCAATCAGGTGATTGTGGGACCCTGCAAAGAGTCTTTTTTTTTTTTTTAAATTTGATTTATATGCCGCCCTTCTCCGGAGACTCAGGGCGGCTTACAAGGCATTAAGCAATAGCCTTCATACTTTTGTATATTTATACAAAGTCAGCTTATTGCCCCCACAATCTAGGTCCTCATTTTACCTACCTTAGAAAGGATGGAAGGCTGAGTCAACCTTGAGCCTGGCGAGATTCGAACCTGCAGAAATTGCAGGCAGCTGTGTTAATAACAGGGTGCATTAAACCACTGTGCTACCAAGGCTCTTAAATATGGGCTGGTTGCCGAGTGCCCAAAATCTGGTTAGGTGACCATGGACTCGGTGGCTGTCAGAACTTCGGAACTGGGTCTTTAGTACCTTTTGAGGAGTCTGTCCTAACTTTGAATGGTCAGTAAGTGAACAGCCATAAATCAAGGATTACCTGTAGGGAAATGAGGAGATATCTGGTGAACCTCTGAACAGAACTTGCTGGCCCATGTTAGCCTGCTGGACTGCAGTTTCAGTCCCAATCTATTGCAAGTTTTGTGTTGCTAATTTGTGTTGCTAACTGCTCACAAACAAAGAGAAAATCATTTCTCCAGCGCAAGCCTGCAGAGCCAATAGCCGAATCTTTCATAATGCTATCAAACCAAAACTAATGAGTACTGCAGGGAGGGGAAAAAATTCTGCAGGAAACTTCCTATTTTTTTCATCAACCCAGAGCTCTCAGCAAATTAAAGTCATTAAGATTTGATTTCCATCTCAGCCATTATCACCATATTCTTTTAAACATTTACTTGAAGACAATCCTATCTTTCAATTAATTAATCTCATCTCCCCCCATTTACCCAGTTTTATATCAAATCAAAATCCTATACGAATTAATAAGAATTTATGGGGGAAGCTAATTTGGGAATAGATAATCTGAGGTTCAGGACAGTGAAGTTGTTGATTTAAGAAATACCGTCCTCTGTGTTGGAAATGGCCAAAGGATTTCTAGGGCAGTAGAAGAGGAGAAGAAAGCATTTCCAGGTGGCCATTCTTGTATGTTCAAAAGTTGTTCTCAGATATAAATCCAACCACCAAATATTCACTGAGGATTAGAATTTGGACTGTTCCCATGATATCTGTTGCCCTGAAACTTCACAGGAAGCTTCCTATTGGGATCATGGGAGGCTGTTTCCTGCCAGGATCCCATGAGATGGAAATGCCTTCCTTTAGACTATTGGGAGAGGCATCTATACAGAATAACAGAGTTGGAAGGGACCTTGGAGGTCTTCTAGTCCAACCCCCTGCTTAGGCAGGAAACGCTACACCACTTCAGACAAATGGTTACCCAACTTCTTCTTAAAAACTTCCAGTGTTGGAGCATTCACAACTTCTGGAGGCAAGTGGTTCCACTGATTAATTGTTTTCACTGTCAGGAAATTCCACCTTAGTTCTAGGTTGCTTCTCTCCTGGATTAGTTTCCATCCATTGCTTCTTGTCCTGCCTTCAGGTGCTTTGGAGAATAGCTTGACTCCCTCTTCTTTGGGGCAGCCCCTGAGAGATCGGAAAACTGTTATCATGTCACCCCTGGTCCTTCTTTTCATAAGACTAGACATATCCAGTTCCAGCAACCGTTCTTCATATGTTTTAGCCTCCAGCCCCCTCATCATCTTGGTTGCTCTTCTCTGCGCTCAACATCTTTTTTACGTTGTGGTAACCAAAACATCTGCAGAGCTCCCCATATCGGCTTCTTTGCTGAAGACTTCCTCCTCTCCAGTCACTTAGAACAGGCAGATGATGCAGGCAAGGTGGTACTCCAAGCATCCTCTGCAGACCCCCTTGGAAATTGACTTCCTTGAGGCCTTCTAGTTCAAAGGGGGGGGGGTTGAACTAAGGTATGGGCTGCAAGCCCCGATGGTTTAAAGTCCCCCTACATTCCTGCCTGCCTCTTTCTCTCTTTAAAAAGTTTTTTTTTTTAATGAAATCAGCAATGCAAAAGAAAATTCTTTGGTAAACCATATCTGACGAAAAAACACCACACAAGCAATACATTTTGGACTAAGGATGGGGGTAGAGAAGTGGAATATTTCTGGCAGATATTCACAATGCACATTTTCCCCCCAATTAAAGTTAATTATGCCCAAATGGAACACATGGTAATCTGTATGCTTTCTTTTTC